GCTAGGTTATCTGTGACTGCACTTTCTCCTACACGCCACATCCAGGCCTTCAGCAAAGCTTGTCAAGTCTATTTCCAGATATGCATCCTCAGTCTAATCTCTTTTTCCCCACCTTCACTGCCCCCATGCTACGTTATGCCACCATTACAGCCTAGCGGAATTTGCAATCATTTCTTTTTTGACTATATTTCACTAGTGCACGTTAATATTACATGATGATGGAGCTTATTTTGGAAAGGGGATACATTCATTTAACCTATCTTAGACAATTTCAATTTCAATTCCATCTCTCCCCTTTCCTTTCCTTTTTTACTCTATTTCTCTCCATCCTTGTCTCCAGAAGTCTACTCCCTGGTCTCCCATCCTCTCTTCTTTATTTTCATAATGTACTAATTGATTTTTTAAAAATTTCTCATATATGAGAAAACATGTAATATTTAACTTTCTGAATCTGGCTGACTTCACTTAACCCGATGGGTTCTGATTCCATCCACTTTCCTACGAATGCATGATTTCATTCCTCTTTAGGGCTAATGTTCTATTGTGTGCATATATCACATTTTCTCTATCCATTCACATATTAGTGGACATCTAGGGCAACAGTTTCTTAAATAGTCACCCTATAAAATAGTCTTTCCCTGTTAGAGACTAATTTACATAATGTAACCAGAGATGCCTTTAAAGTAGAAGTCAGAACACACCTTCCTGTCTCACCTCGCTTCCGATAGCTCTCAGCTGAAGTCCTCACTTCTTGCAACCCCATGCCTGGCCCCATTCTACTTCCGACCCTCAGACAGCTGCCCACTCTACTAAAGCCCTGCTCTTTTAGGGAAACTGAGTCATCTCAGAGTCTTTGCATGGTACTTTCTATGGCCAGAGTCTTTCTTTGGGTTGTTCCATGGCTCCTCTTTTTCCTTATTTAGCTCTCTGCTTCCATTTTATTTTTCAGGAAGGCTAATCTTTGCCTTTACATTCTGTCCTGCTTTATTCTTTTTTTTTTCCTCATTGAGTTTATTGGTACATTTTAGGGATACAGTACAGCTACATTCATCATTGGGATCTTGTACCTTTACATGCCCGGTCTTGGTTCTCATTTTTTCCCCTTGTCCCTTCCCTCCCTTCACCTCCCCTTACTATTTACAAATACTTTATTTCCACTTTTTCATTTTCTCATTTTTTTCTTTTCCCTTATTACCTTTTCCTGCTTTATTCTTTTTCTTCACATCACATATCGACAATAGAACATGGTTTAATTCTATTTGTATTTTAATGCCTTACTCCCCTCCTCTTCAGCCCCAAACTGTAGACATCTATGATGGTAACAATTTGATTAGTTTGGTCCAGAACCCAGAATTCCTTGAACAGAGTTGCTGTTTAGTAAATACTGTGAATTGATTAATAAGTACAGGAAGATAAGGTTTGGGTGAAGAGGAGCGAAACTGGAAACTCTGAGATCACCGACAAAGCCAGTCATCTGTATGTGCTTGGGATGAGACTCACAGCAGGCAACACAAGCTCAGAATGCCAGAGAACAAGAGAGGGGCAGGGTTCCCAGTGCTCTAGCTGCTATCTACAGAGGACCAGAGTGGTGCATCCTGCAGCAGCCCGGCCTCTGTGTGCACGCTTAGTTGGTATTCCTCCTGCAGACAGAGGAAGCACATCCACCCGGGGCAAATGAGGTGAGAATTAAAAAGGCTGGCAAAGAGCTAGAAATTAAATTAGTGACATTTTCCTTGCTTTATGCTCCAATAAAGAAAAGAGGTTAGGCTGGAGCTGAAAGAAGTTATTTCAAGTCATTTGAAATTTTTATTCTCATTCTAGATTTATCTCTAAATACTCTTCTAGAGAGATTATGTGTAGCTATAATCATCTTCTTTCCTAAACCTAAACCTAGAATATATCCTTTGACAAATATAAATTTACTTTGGGGAACACCAGGACAAAGACTAAAAATTGGCCCTGGCATTAAAAATGGAGGCTATGTATTCACAGTATATGTGTCGCAAAAATGGCGTTAAAATATTACCTGAATGAGTGGTCAGAGAACCGAGCGGGCAGTGTGCAGGGAGGACTGACAGGGACTAAGGCAAGGCAGCTGTGCCCGTTTAGTTTGTGCTAGTGAGAGTAAAGGGTTCCAGGCCTGGCACATAGCATAGCACACATTCCCCATCTCAGAGACATCTTCATATGGAGGGAGGATTGAAACAGGTTTATAAAAAGAGCTTCCTTCACATGCAGCTGATTTTATGTTGTTTACCATGACACAATGGCCATTCGCCAAAGGACTGGTCTCAACCAGTGTCATGGGTACCGCCTGCACACTGGGCAGACAGGTGCTGTTCAAGCTCAGTTTGTGTTTTTTGTCATATTGGGGCTCCCTGTCTTCAGTGAGTTTGTGTGACTGAGGTTCTGAGTGCAAGACTGTGGTTTTTTTCTAATCTTCTCTCTCTCTCTCATATTAGAAGGCAAAGAAGAAATTTAGAGATTAGAGGTTTGAGGCTAGTATATATCCTAACAGTTTTTACAAAGAAATGATCAAATTCTAACTTCAATAAGACTATGAAATGAATAATATTCATTTAAATTCAAAATGTCTGAACACTCTATATTCCTTATTTTATACATGAAAGGCTGAACAAAGGAACAATGCATAACTGCTCAGTGAAACACAGAGTTGCAAGAAAAACTGGGATTAAAATCTAAGCTTCCTAATCCTGAGAGCTTCCTTCCACCTGACCAGCTCTCAGGCTCCTGATCCTTACTACTGGAACCAGTCTGTAGGCAAAACAAAGCACAAAACGAACTCCCTATTGGTAGAACAAAAATCTCGAGGGCCTTTCCTTGTGATTATTTCAGAATGTAACAGAAATGTTCCTTTTGGAATTGCATGCACATTTAGGAGTAACCATGAGCCAGGCTTCCTACTCTGTCCAGGTTGGACTACAGATTGTAAAGGGCCGCAGGAGAGGAGCAAAATATGTGTTACAGGGTCAGGGACTTTTTTCTCACTGTAGCGCTCCATGTTCTTCTTCTTTGTTTGTAGAATAAGAATGCACACTGTGACAATGTACCCACCCAGCACTGGTAGAATAATGTTGTTCCTAGTTGGCATGGAATATATAATTCTGTCTTTTAGTGAAAATCTACCCATTATTTCATTAGTTTTAGAAAGAGCCCCATTGGGCTCCAAGAGTTCGGTTTGTGACTACTGAGAAACCACAGTTCCTTGGTGATTGCACTGTGCAATTCTCACACCTCTTATCATCTCAAGTCATAAGACTGAATCTAAGAAGCATAACAAGTATAAATGGTTCAAATTTAGTCTTATCTGTATCAGTGGTAACAAAAAATGACCATGTGGTTCTTCGAGAAAAAGACCCGTGCTATTAACAAGATGCATTAACAAGATGTGATGTCACATGCCAAGGCTAGAAGGCTCAGTTTCTTCAAACCAAGGGCTGTGCTTACTCATCACTGAATTCATTGCACGTGACCCACTGGATCAACACTCCTAAGGACTTGCTGACATTACTTATTGTATGTTATGAGCATCATTTATATTTTGTTACACTTTAAAAAAATAACTGAAGACTAAAATTATTTTCCCCATATTGTATAAAGACAATGTGAAGCTTAAGAATATAAACGTGTGTGTGTGTGTGTGTGTGTGTGTGTGTGTGTGCTCCTGTTGAGCCCAGGAAACCAGGAAGCACTGAGGTACATCCCCATTCCTTTTTAATTTCGGTTTTGAGGCAAGGTCTCATTAAGCTGCCCTCTCTGGCCTTCAGCTTGTGATCCTCTTGCCTCAGCCTCCTGATAGCTAGCATTTTGGGCTTAGGCTACTGTACCCAGCTGACATAAATCAACTTGATAGTTGCTCCACGATGAAGTTGGGCTCCCAGATAAAGAAGCCTACCCAGCACCCACAAGACAAACCCTCTCTGTACATCCATTCCCAAAAACATTTGAGAAAGTGATTGTAAAAAAAGATGGGAGGAGGCCTGTGTCACCCAGACTTTTCTGACCACAGGCTGGCATCATTTTTCAGTTAATAATGAAAACTAATTTACAACTAGTGTGAAGCTGAGCAGTCACGATGATTATGGAGACTCCCTTGCTCATGCCTGCTCACCACCTAGAGGCTCATTTCTAAGTCAGCGAGCAGTTCTCACACCACACCACACAGCACCTCTGCAGCACCTCATCAGCGTGGCCTCCTCTGTGTCCCTCCTGAGTCCTCACTCATTTCTGTCCTTAGACTTCATCGTCTGTTTAACAAGAGCACACACACACACACACACATACACACACACACAGAAACACACACACACACACATATACACACACATAGCTTTTATATATTCTTGGGAGGTCACTAATGTATGACTGGGACAAAATTCACAGGAGTGAGTGATTTTGACCAAGGATGCCCGGGAACTATTTTTTCTTAGAGGTGAATAAAATTAGAGGTTACGTATAAGTGGGAGCAGGGAGATCCCACCTTATGTAGAAGCAGGGGGATGGAGAGCATCCTGTGCAAAAGCTTTGAACTGAAACACCCAAGGTAGACTTGGGAAGTTCTTTGAGGTCAGGATATATCAAGGGTCCTAAGAAATGTCTTCCTATGAAGACATTGTTCTTCACTGCCACCAACGAGGGTGCCATTAATATGAGACACCAAGTTATACTTGAAATAGGTCTTGTTTCTCCTTAATTCTGTCTCCCATGTTCCCTGTCCTACAATTTTTGAGGAAACTGAGTAAAGAATTCCAGTGCTGTATAAATTTAAAATCATTTGACAGCACTGAATGGAAGGGGAAGATGGTGTGGTCTTTCCACAATTCCTGGAAAGCCACAATATGGGCCCCAGGAAACATTTCACATCATCACGCAGACACACTAGGGCAACATTAAAACCAGTTTCCACCTGAGAAGTCAAGAAATGTACTACCTTGCCCCAAAACTGTAAGAATCCGATTACCACAAGGATGGATAGTTACCCATGGCGAAGAACGGGATTCCCAGCAGGGTGGAGTTGTACTTGCCGTCCGTGATGAAGAAGATCCCTGCTGCCGTGACCAGGGAGATGCACACGGTGAGGACCCCCAGCAGGCCCAGGAAAGGCTTGCTGCGCAAACAGTCCTTCATGGAGCTGGAGAGTGTGGCTGTGGTCAGGACTAACACGAGGCTCACCAGCACCTTGCTTCTGGCAAGGATGCTGGTCTTATGGAAGTCTCTCCAGAGGCTGAAGGATGCGAGAGGGTAGAGCTGGAGGTCTTGGTGCTCCTCCTGGAGCTTCCCCACGAGCTTACAGAACTCATTCTCCCACTTCTCCCCTATGAGGTCTTGGGTGGCAGAGCCATAGGTCTGGAGGTAGTAGGTGATTTGAATGGCTCTGGCAGACTTGACCCGCTGGTCCTTGCTGTTGGGCACTTCCACTACCCCGCCCAGCTGATGTCCAATAAAACTGTTCCTCCCATCCTTGAAAACATGAAAAGGGGAGACTTAAGTTACCAGAAGGATGCACATCCCAGGAGCAGCTTCTTACTCTAAGTAAAGGAGCACAAGAAAGGCAAAAGTGGGTGCCAGAAACTCAGAACTGATGTGGGTGGAGAGGCAAATCAAGAGTTCATATACCCAGCCAGACACAGCAACGTGGGACACCATGCGTGATGACCTGGGTTAGAAAAGATGCAGAGCCCGAAGAACTACACAAGACTCGACACATGCATAGGGACACGTTCGCAAATACTATTTTGTGTTCCCCAAACACCCTCGTTGCAACCTTTTCCTTCTGTGCCAATCTTTTACGGTTCTAAATGCAGGCCACACTTATGGTTCAGTGAAGTATGGCGTGACCTGACATCACTACAAAAAGTAAAGTGACTAAATAAATATTTTTTTCTACAAATGTATGCTAAACTTTCTCGGGTCCACACGCAACTGCACCAACACATACAAACGGACTCAAACGCGGATATCCTTCCTTCTTGGTATCTGGTGATACAATCACACAGTGCAGGATAGTACGGAAAAAATATTTCATAGGATTAATTTACTTATATTGAAACACTTAACTATACATGGGTCGATCAAAATATAAGATGAATTTAAACATTTTAAAAGGTGTTACATTAGAAGGCACATCGTCATCAAGTCCCCTCAAAACATTATTCCTCACTTACTACGCTCTTATCCCGTCATTCTGGGCACTGTCTGAAGCAGTTCTGGAAGTCCTCTTCCATGAGTGTCTTTAAGAGGTGTATTTGGAAATACAGTCCAGGCTGCTGCCAGTGCCATCCAATGGAAAGATAGGATTGCAAAACCACCGCCACGTGTTCTCATTTATCTTATTCACCAGTTCTGGCACTGTGCAATTTATGACCCTTCCTCAAAGTCAAAATGACCATGAAAGGTCAATATCTGGAATCATTTCAGAACACTGAGGCAGCCATGGCCACACAGAAAGAGCTCTTTCCTCTCCTGGCTCTGCTTCCTGAGAAACTTGTGAGGTGAACATCTTGCCCGATTCAGCTCATGTACAGTGAATTCAGCCGTGTGCCTGCTTCCCACCCAGCACCTACATTTCCAAGGTTACCCTACATCTCACATCCTGTTCCTGGCTCCAAAATTCTGACAACTGTCATTGAAGTACATGATCATTGCGGCAAAAATAAAATTTCCAAATTGCTTAACACAACACGCAGGAAAGAGGACTTCCAGACCTGCTTCACAAAGTGTCAAGAACAACAGGACGAATGTGTCCAAAGTGAGGAGATTGATGGAATATCTCTTTTACTGTAATTTTTAAAAAAATTAAATCATTGGCTGCATTTCTCAAATTCACAGTGTAATGTGAGTGCTGGTCGACTCATTACTGTCTTCCTGTAAACCCTTGCCTCAGGTGCAGGTTGATCTCTCCCTGAAATGACAGTGGCAAAAACCCCAAGAGACGGGTGACACATTTTTGGATTTGGCTGCCAAAAGTCACCTTGACTCCAGAGCATGGAACAAGGTAGTACAGGCAAGCATGCAGGAGTGGGAGCCCAACAAGAGATGTAACCCCTTCTCCACAAGGCATCCCAGGGTGCGCGTAGCTACAGGCATGGGTTCAGAACAGCAGGTTCAGGCCTTGTGCCATGTGCCTCACCATTCAGAAAGAGGCTCTGACAGCCATCACCAAATGTGCCAGGATAGCCCTGGAAATGCAGGTGCTGGGTGAGAAGCACATGGCCAAATTTATGTCACATGCAGACTATATGTGAGCTGAATTGGGCAAGATGTTCACCTCACAAGTTTCTCAGGAAGAAAAGCGAGGAGAGCAAACAGCTCCTGCTGGACAGAGCCGTGGACAAGGGTAACTACATTGGGGGTTTCATGGGGCCATCAGGCATATGGTAAATACATGAAGTAATTGTGGGCTTGCTTAATGCAGACACCTAAGCCTGAGGTATTTATATCTGTATTCTTGATAGGCACCAAAGCATCCTAATATTTGAGAATGTGTTGCAAATACAAAAAAGTTTAAAGTTTATGGAGAGTGCAGTACTGTTAGAATCTTCAAGAATTGCAAAAAAGAAAAGAAATTTCATGCTCTAATACTCTTTTCGACCTAGATGTTGAATAATCGCAGTCATTCTAATTAACTCTACCTGACCAATTCCCAATGAACGATATACTTCTTACAAAGAATTTGATTTGAGGATCCTCTGCCTCGATATTACCCCCCACTTTCATGGGATCTTTGTAATTGCCTCATCTCTGTTATAAAAATCAAACCAAATTTGGTTCCGGATTCCCAGTGTTCTCTCTCAGTCAAGCCCTGATGGTGCTCCAATGAGCTCCCAGGGGAGGAAGTACACTGTGGGGGAAGAGGTGGGAATTCTGCCCAGAACACACACACACACACACACACACACACACACACACACACAGAGAGGGAGAGAGAGAGCGAATGTGCAGTACACATTGTACTTGACCAAGTGGGCCCACATTGCTCCCTTCTCAAGCTTATTTATTTTTGTTTGAAGCATGGTGTAATTTTTGTCTCTTCCTCTCCCCCTCTGCTCCACCTCTTCTGGGCTCTGTTCCTATTCTTTGAACATCCAGTTGATTTCCATCTCAAGGTCTCTGACTCTGTGGCTCCTTTCGCTGGAATATTTTTCAACACTTTCCTTATGGCCAGGACCACTTCCTTTGGAGGTCTTAGCTTTAAAGAAACCTTTGGCACCACACAATCTAAACCAGACCTCTCCTTCCCTGCAACCTTTGTACTTCGCAGATCTGTTTTGTGCTCTTCTTGCTAGTGATTTTTTAAAAAAATCTGGAATGGTCTTATGTAATAATTTAACCACTTCTCTCTGTCTCTGCTAGGGTGTGCAGCATAGAGGATGGTAATATTGATGATGCCCAAAGCAGGCTGGAAAGAGTGAACCCCACAATTGTCTTGTTTATAAAAGTGAGTCTAGAGGAAGCCTATGTGCCCAGATCAGAGTAACTCGCACCCAAATTCTGTCCCTACAACGAAAACCTCCTGGCTAGAAGCATAGTGTTCTAATTCCAATCATACATTTTGTCCATTTTATTCTTAATTCAAGGATGCTTTGTCCTGTCGTTTATGAGCCTTGTTTACGTTAATTTACACAGAAACCAGACATCCCCTTTCCTCTAATTGGTTGCCAATAAAAGTCAGTGCCTGGGACTGCCCAGTGCCTTTGTCAGTCACACTGACATTGGTCACCTGGCTCCCCGCTTTCTCTTAGTTCTATCCCTTAGTGAATTTTTTTCTCAGGCCTGCATCACACATGGGGCAGGTGGGGACCCGATACTGTGCAGTACTGAGAGCTAGCCTTTCCTGGTTTGCTAATAACTTCCCTACACGGTACCTAGAACAAGCCTGCTCCCCGAGAAACACTCCAGCTTTGTTAGTTGCGTGAATTATCTTAAGTGTAAATTCCTAATCGTAGGTGTTTTTAAGAGACAGTTTCCCTACGAGCAGGAAATGCAAATCATACTTTTACCTGTCTTTCAATCTGCTTAGTCTCATGTAATGTTTCCCCAAAACATGTTCCCGTTCCATTTTCACCATGTACCGGATGTGCGCAGAGGGCATTTGACAGATGGGGGCCACAGGACACACTGGAGAAAGGAAGTACACGTCTTGTGACCCCAAGACCTAGCATGGCAGACGATGCTCACAGAGCTGAAGCGGGTGCTGGGGTGTGGGGCTAAGAGGGGCTGGGGCTGCTCAGGAGCAAGGATGCCTGAGGAAGTAAGTTCTGGGGCTTCTTTGTTCTCAACACAAAAATCACTGGTGGATTCACCGGAAAAGACTTGCTTTCCTTTTTGGAGTACTTGCTCACATTGCACTGGGAAAACAGATTTGGGGGGGAGGGGTCCCTCAAACTAAAGGACTTCGTGAGAAAGCCCCTGTAGTATTTCAGTATTTCTTGATGCAGCATAAGAACATGTCAGCGAGGCGGTCTCTAGTAGGCAAATTGTTGCAAGGTGAATCAATAAAACTGCAGGTCAGGATCCTATCTCCTGGCCATAAAGCATCTCACTATGTTATCTCTCCAGCAGCAGTAATGCTGCAAAAACAGCCTTGGGTTCTCCAGCTTTTATTTAGTCTGAGGTTACTGTTTTGTGACATTGCTTTGTAGCTTTTACAGTTATTCTTGTCCAGTCCACACCTAGACAGTGAAAAGAAAATTACTCTCAGAGATAAGATCAAAGAATAAAATTTTGAAGATAAGAGAGGATGGAGACATTAACATAATAGTTGTGCACAGAAAAAATTACCTGATGATGCTGTGACATTAGAGGGGAGGAAGTCTAATATCTGCTCAACGTAGAGGCTACAGTAAAACTTGGGTATTTTTCTATGGCTGCAAGACATTTGGCTGTACAGCTATCCAAGACAACTATAATTTGGATTTCATTGATTTTCTGTGAGGTAGGCACTGCAAGGATACTGGGAACTTTTAGATGGTTAGTTGTCTTTTATTTCTGAAAAAACGTCTTTTGTTTATAATAGACGGTGACATTTCTAAACGAACACTAAGGTTTTGTTTATTTGAACAGCGTTTTCCCTTGTATTTGTTTTCTAACTGACATCTCTGTCCATTTGCAGTGTTGGTTAGCTACACAAACTAGGATTAAAGGCAACCATTAGTTTTCTTGATTTAATATCCCAGGGTTTTTCTATTTAGTAGAAATAAGCAAATAATGAAAAAGCAATTTCCTACAGAGTATTCATTTTAAAACAACTCAGAATTCATTTTCAAAATGAAGATTTTAAAGCATTAAAACTCCCTTAAATAAAGTATGAATTGATTTTTTTTTGGTTATATTACTAAGCTGGGAAAGTGTGATGGTATATTTCAGATTTTTTTCCAAAAGAGAATAGTTATAAAACACGAAGCTTCTGTGTTACTGAAATGAAATGAAACCTTTACAAAGCACTTCAGCACATCAGTGAA